AATTAAATCCGAATAAATGTAGGTTGTTTTAAAAATGCAGGAAACTGGCCGCATAAAATCATATTTGCACGTCTGAGTTTAAAAAATACGGAACGTGTGAGTGCGCTTACAAATCTAATTAGAGTTACAGCTGCAGCATATTCGTCTCGCAGTGCAGCTACATACAGACACGTTGCTGAATGTTGCAGCAATTATGACACGCTTAATTGTTATATTATTCAGAACTGCATAAGATTCTTAATGCGAACACTGCGAACTCTCTACACATACATTATACTATAATTTACGTAGGTTTTTGTTGATCTATTGTTTGTTTGATATGGCAGTTTTTTTAAGTTAAAAAAGATAAAATTATACGGACGCTCGTACGGATGGGTTCAAAGCCATCATGCGAAAGCGCTGCGCCTCCTTACTGCAGCGAGTATATCACAGCCCTTAAAGCAACCTGAGTTCAATTAATTGTGAGTTTTATTTATTAATTTATATTAATTTTACCTAAATTACGTTTAATAAATACATGACACAAATACCTTTACAAAAACTCGCCCCTGCTTACATTTATATACGACACACATGCACACGCACACACGCGCAAAATCACACCAAACTGCTCTTAACAAAAGTGTATCTTTCAACTTTAGTAACAATTTACTTTAAAAAGTAGAAGATAGTAATTAACAGATGGCTCTGCCTCTTGAAACATAGGTATTACTAGTTCAGAAGAAAGAGTCCTACCGATATTGTACAAAATTGTTTTGGTCCAATGAATACTTGCTATTTTTATTTTATAGTGACAAACAGACAGCGGGAATCGGCTTTGTTGAATATTATGACGTGCAGAACTTCTTCAGTGCTCGTTTTCTAATCTCAATAATTTCTAATTGTCATTTTACTAAGTAAATGAAAATTATTTATTCGAATAACATACATTTAAACATTAATAGAGAACGTTGTGAACTAACAAGATCTGCTTGTAATTGTATTATATTGCGAACTATTACGCCGCTTGTGGCAGAGTCAGATTGAAATTACGGCTCAAGGAGTTTCTTACCCGTTTATTATTAACCTATTTGTAAGCATATACGCATATTGTGAGTTGAAGCAACAGTTAAAGTCGAGATACAGTTAGGTTACAAGTTTCGTAGAAGGAAAGTAGGAAGGAAGAAGGTTGGAACGTGTAGAAATTCGTAGATTTTTTTTTAAACTTTTTAACTATAATTTAAGAAAAGTTGTTTTTTCATCCAGATTATTTCTATTTTAATCCCCAATCGTACGATTTTATCGTGAATTATCACGTTTTATTTGTATAAGAACTAAGTAATGGAGATGACAATGCTGCCGTAAAACAAAAGACTCACTCCTTGAAATGATTTATACATCGATCTCTTTGTATTTACCTTCTTCATTTCACAAACATTGCATACGGGGTGATTTAACTCAGTACCTTTACTTTCCTACAGCTTCACTGAGGTCCTATCACGAATTTTCATGAGAACGATTTCGTAACGTCAGTGACAAAATACGTATGGTATTATATTTTTACAGCGCACCGGGCGTATGTTCACTAACAAATTATATACAAAGCTAGTCGATAATGTTATGAATGTTCTCGCAAATGTCACGCAAATATTCGTAATAAACCCTCAGAAGCCAATGTTTGGAAGTTATTAATTAGCGACTGAAGTGAATTTGATATACGTTGTGAAGATGTATGAAACATCTTGCTAATATTAAATCACAATTTTACCCAGTTTATGTACTAGAATATAACATGGGTTAACATCTTTTCTAATATAATAAAGCGTAAACACACACTTCTTTGTTGCCTAAGATGTCAGCAATTACAGCATATTTTTGAGTAATTCTTTTTTTAATAAAAAGCCCTACACTTACGTCACGCTTTAGGCTGTATATTTTCACGCTGTTAAACTTAGGGGGTAAATGTTTTGGATAAAAACCCTAATGTGGGAAAGAGACCATAAGTTGCTACCAACATCAAGGAAGCAAGCTTGCCAAGTTTTGCCATGTCATGTCATTTTGACATTTGCAATTGACAATTTGACACATGTAAACAGTAAAATAATTTTATGCTAATGAAATCGAAATCGGGAACAGCTAGTTAACTAATAATTGGCATGATTTGAATGTATTTTAAATGTTTTTTTTTTTATAAATTGCTCTATTTATTTCTGGTAAATCTAATCATTTTAATTACATAATTTCTCTGTGGATAGATTTATTAGGACTTGATCTCTTAAACGAATTTACACATTTGCGTTTTAAAACAAAATATTTGTTATTATTTCCGCATTGCGTTGTTCATTAAATATGTAAGGAACGGTAGCAACAACAAATCAAGTACTGCTTAGGGACGCGTTAAGTTGCGACTGTTGCAAAAGTTGGGGTTAAGTGACAATCCCTAACGCGCATTGCAGCAACAACCCAGGACACCTATAATTATAGCAGAGGTTTTCAGTGATTGCGTTTTATTTGGATTTTAAAGAAAATTACGAAGTAATTAAGAAAAATAAATGTAGGTTTGGATAATGACGTCTTTATTGGTCACTACTTACTGTCAATGTCAATTTATTGTGATAATGACAGGACCCCCGCTAGCACTAATTCCTGATACACACTAAGGCATAACAGTAACGTAGAGTAATCGATAGTGCAGTACGGATATTGTTAAAAATCACCCCTACTGTTGAAACAATACTGTTTTATCTTTAATGCAAGTACTGTTCTACCCAAATGCTCTGCGTCACTGTAGCACCTGCGTATGAAAGAGGCTTAACGGCAGCTATTAACTGACCGGATAGAGATGTGATTCGCCGAATTCGCACATCCCGTATTCTTGTTTGTAATCTTTGCTGACTCATACAGTTCTATCGCTAATTTTCGCAATTCGTTCACTTAATTGAATCGAAGTCTTCATTTGTTAATATATCAAGCTTGTTAGGACGGTAATTAAATTGTCTGCTGAATTACACACAATTCTCTAAAGAAAGTGTCACAAAATAATATTAGGACAATTTATGAAGTATATGTATTTTTTGACAATACAAAACAGTGAAATTCACCAGTAAATAGCAAAAAACGCCCTAACTCCTTAAATTTCGTTTGATTACTATAGTTGTTTTATCTTGTATTTTCATTTGACAGTATTATTGATGTCCACACGTTGACAATGGATCACACGGGCTTCATACGTGATGTATCGAGCCGACGAGTTGAAACACTATTGTTGAGAACATTCATCACAATCGCACCAACGAACACCGCGACGTGCAATTCGTATACGTTGAAAACTTCCACGGCGCCCATTTATTTGAACTGTAACACATAAAATAATAGCTAAAGAAATTTATATCATACTTTCAACAGTGGTAGAGCCCGCTTTAACATCACCGCACGAATGGGCCGAATCGCCCGGTGCAATACCACGATCACACAGAAGACGCTAAAACCAGTACTGCGAGAGATTTCGGACGGACGTAAAGAGAGACGCAATTGGCTTCTACGTTTATCTCTTACAAGCTTTTTTTAAACAATTAGAGGCAGAGCTAGAATACGGTAATATAGTCGAATGAGGAATTCAAAAACACAACACCGTGATCCGATGTACGTGGGTTGTGATTAGGCTAAGAATGTTTGCTCTTAATAATCTGAATTCCGTACTAGCCATTAAATAACTTTACAGATCCTGTATTTGCATACTACTTAAGTGCTACAGCATTCATAATCCAACAACTATAAGCCTTTGTTCTATTAATGTAACCTGCGAGGAAAAGTTTGCGTTACTTACATTAAAACCTAAAGTTTTAATGTATTTTCATTAAAGGTTGCACCACTCAGAGTTAACAGACGATGCAATCTGATGAAAGCATAGTTAAAGATAAAGTTTAATTTTAAAACCTTTCTATTTTAATCGGATAAACGTTTCCGTGTGTGAAATATAAACTTTAATGAATACCAAATATTGTAAATGTAATAAAAAATTTCGCTGAGGACAGGATTCGAACCTGCGCGGGTAGAACCCATTGGATTTCAAGTCCAACTCCTTAACCACTCGGACACCTCAGCTACATCACATATGGTGAAATTACGAACCCATTTATTGCTGATCAGTTAAAAATACAAGCACATATAATTAACACTTGTTTAAACATTATACACAGACTCAAACTATTTATTTTGCATTTGGAAAACAAAAGGTGCGCGTCCGCATTACGTTATATTTTCTTGTCAGAGCAAATGTTACCAGATTATACATTTAACTACTGAAATTAAATTAAAGAGGTGTACATATACGTACATACATACACGTGTGTGTGTGTGTGTTACTTATATTATTCAATGTTTTCTGTAACGTATAAACAATGACAATTCATAATAATAGTTGTTTGCACCACATACAGTTAAGTTTCTTTACTAAGACTCCGTAGTTAAGGTTGCTTTTGCAATAAACACAGCATTCGGGTCTCGTTGGGACAGCGAGAGATATGACGCGCCTGCTAATCTTGTCCTGACAAGGATAATGACCTCCTAATTACTGCTTACCTCCCTTAATGGAGATCACAAACATATGATAAAAGTTCCTTATGTTTGACTCTAACGATCGATCGATGTTTATTCGATTATTATTCGATCGTATGTTTTAAATACGAACGATTCTTATCGTATTAAGTTGGTACAACGTACTTTCAAGCGTTACAAATGTAGCAAAAACTAATTTTCAACTGAGATAAATTCAAATCGTTCGGAAGAACGTTATCTGCGCTCTAAACCTGAATAGAAACTGCCTCATTCAGGAAGAGAAATACGCTCTTATTTAAAGACATATAAATGCTATGAAGTTAGTATTACCATATAATTAGCAGTGTTCTTTTATTATCGAATAAAGTAGTAATATTATCGATTTTACAAAATGTTATGTCGATAATTGAAGAAAAGAAATTTACATCACTAGATCTTATCTTTTGAACTTTAGCCTGACAATCGCATATGTCGATTGATTCCCTCGAACATAAGTAGTCGACAGTGCTATCGCTCACGGCGTACAGTTTACTTAAAAATGTACAAACTCCTGTTTCTGTTTCTGCTGTTCGTTGCTGTTGACAGCTATCGTTGTCACAAAGATGGCTCTTGTAGACATAGACACAGACAATACGGGCAAGCGCGTTACAATAATCGCCATTTTGAAAAAGTATTTGAAGATATATCCTCAAGCGTAATCAATATGGACAGAAAGTATCAAGCAGTTTGCGGCAACACTACAGACCAACAGATAAGAGAATTTTACGATGTAGATTCTTATAATCTTAAATATTCCCTTAAAGAATATTCTGAAGACAATGTGACTATCAAAGTGCAACACAGGGTGATGTATTTGAAAGCCGTAAAGAGTCACGTGACAGTATTCAAAGATATTAGGATACTCCCGACAATAGTGGATGCCAAAACCGGGCAATATTTCAAACAGGACGATGATATTGTTATACAATTTTCTTATAAAACGAATCTGAAAATAGAAAATGTTGTCACCTGCAATAATGACATTAACGATGACATTCTGAATCTGACTAAAGTAATGATAAGCGATGAAGATTTGAGAATCGCGCAATAATCAAGTGGTTCATAATGTTGCAGTTTTGAACATTTTAAGACATGCATAAATATTGTTACATTTTACAAATTTAATTATTATTAAAAGTTTTTATAATGAAAATGGTTTACAATTTTTTTTTCGTTTAATTTTCCTTCCAATATTTTCTTCCGCATTAAAAGTTTAATTGTGTCAAACATAAAACCAGATAATACAAAATAAATACATTTTACATTTGTGATCTTATTGAGGTATATGAGTGCTTAGTTTCCTAATCTATTATGTACTAGTCATGTTTTTTAACTAAAAAGCAATAAAGTATCAACACCTTATACTCTCACCACTAAACACTCGTATACTTTATATTTAACAATATTTTTCTCCGTACATCTAACTTATACTCAAATGTTACAAAGTTAGCAATGGGTACATTTAATTTAACGCATCGTAAATGTTTAAATTTAGATACTAATTGCGCAGTTAATAATGTCATGTTATTATAATCTGCGACGCATAACATTATCTTATAAACTTTTAATAATAAAGTCCCGACTCTTGACCTTTCCTTGTTTTGATATCTACCACCGATAACTTGCCACTCGCCAGTTATTCTCATATTAGAATAACTTCTTGTACAAGATGTATCGCTCCGTAGTTTTACTGTTTATTATAATAAGTGTCACCGAGAGTCATCACTGCCACGGTGACCACGACTGTATAGTCAACTTCAGATTGAATCGTAATAACAACAGGAAGTTCGAGAAACTCTTCGATAAAGTGTCTAGAAATGTCATCCTTGCAGACAGAGAAGTGCACCACGGCTGTGGAGCAACCACCACTAACCCAATACATGAATTAGTCGGTTCTGACTCCTACGTCCTTAAATACACGTTGCCGGAGTTTACTGGAGCAACTTTTAGCATCAGAATCAAACATCGAGTGATATATTTCTACGCTTACAAAGCAAATGGACTTTCGTTTAGAGATGTGAGAATTTTGCCGCAAATTGTACGGACACAGGATGCTCAATGGTTTATGGAAGATGGAATCGTAAATGTCTTATTCAATTACAAAAGCCCGATAAAGACCGCCACGGCGAAACTTTGCGGGGAGTACGTTGATGAAGCAATCCTGAGTGTTCCGATGACCGCGGTAAGCGAGGATAATTTAAGACAAGGTGACATTGGAAGTGCGTTCGTACTTCCTAGTAATGTAACGTTTGGTGACAGCGTTTTATTGTAAGTCAAAATTTTTAATAAAATTGTGTTACAGTTGTAACTACAGATCTTTTTCTTGTAAATAATGTTACCTTTGTTGTACTGTTTATCATTGTTTGTTTACTATGCACCTAGATATACGAGTAGTTGGCGCATTTTTGCTACATGTGTTAGTGAATTATTTGTATATATTTTTAATGAGTTAATTGTCAAGTTATGCTTTTCACAGATGTTATCTTCATTTGGCATCAACTTTACTTAAATAAATTGATTAACAAGCAAACATTTCTTACAACTTTGCTATTTTGAAATAGTAGGCGCTGCTACAGCAATTTGAGGAAAAAGTTAAGCGGCTTACCCGTGTTATGTGACATTTTACATGGACACTTCATAAATTCCTACTTCCTCACCCAGAGCACCGCAGTTTTGACGCATCCTATACATAGGCGGTTTTAGAGTTACTAGCACCTGGGCTATTTTACAGCGCTTCTTTTTTTAAGCACTTTCATAGATAAAAGTGTTTACGAGTTATGCAAAACTATGCGATTCGCCGACCTGTGACGTAATCATTTTATGCCATCTCTTAGAAAGATTTTAATAAACATAATTAATTAGTATAACATATCTTTATAGTTCTTTGAGAGGAATCCATATTGATGCAAAGATTACATTTTACTACTACTACTACTACTATTCAGCCATATGACGCCCACTGCTGGGCATAGGCCTCCCCCAACGATCGCCACGATGATCGGTCCTGTGCCTCCCGCATCCAGGATACTCCCGCAACCTTGACCATATCATCGGTCCATCTTGCGGGAGGCCTACCCACGCTGTGTCGTCCTGTCCGTGGCCGCCATTCCAGGACTTTGCGGCCCCATCGGCCGTGTGTTCTACGGGCGATATGGCCAGCCCATCGTCACTTGAGGTTTGCAATTCTTCGAGCAATGTCGGTTACCTTCGTTACATTATAAAAATATTTAATTAAATTACTGTTGTTTTTAACAATAATTAAATAAACGTTTTGTTTAAAACGTTTTTAATTTAATATGTTTATGCAAGTGATAGCTACTTTGTTAAAAAATAAAATTATCATTGTTTACACAAAAGATAAAGCTAATTGTTTTCCAGAATTTGTACGACATCTACATAAAGACATGCAAACAAGTTTATAATCATTATTTTAATGAATATAATCGCTAATTACAGTAACGATTCATGTATATTAACGGTTTAAATGAACCTATTGGTATATGAAATAAAACAATATTAAATATAAAATTGTTTATTTATCACCTATTCTAGATTATATTTAGTAACGGACTGGCACGAAATCCACCTCATCTTTAAGGTCCACAGCGTACGTGGTAGCCTCCACCGCCTCTCTGTGTGGTACCTCGTTTGTAAGCAGCTCCGTCTCCTTGGCAACGTCTCCTCTAGCTACACCTACGTCTGCATCTGTGTTATCGTCGTCTCCAGTCGTATCTTCTCGGCTCTCCGGCTTGAACTGCTCCGGTATCTCCGTTACGACTTCTGTGGTCGTCTCCTCCTCATTCGGCGTAGATAGAAGAGGGAACACCACTTTCAAAACGCCATTTTCAAACGTCCAACTGCCGGTGACATTGACAATGGCCGGTAACGTCCTCATGCTTAGGTAACTGTTTTGTCCAACCTCCCCTGCGCTTCTTACCGCCTGGATCATCAGAACTCCTTCACGGGCTTTCACTTTGATATCCTGTTCCTCGAATCCATTTAATGGAACTGTGACTTTATATTCATTTGTCTTAGAGTCTATGCCTTCGCTTGAGACGCCGTTGGGGAACCGCTTAGTAAACTCGTTAAGAAACTGGTCAAGCATAGACATCTCCCGCGACAATTCTGCCCAGAACCTTCGAGTATCGAACATGTTGTCGCGGAAGAAGTCGTTATCGTTGCCGAAATAAGGTTCCATTCCGAAGCCTCTGTGGTCGAATTCCTTGGAACCGAACGGAGATGGGGGGCCGTAGCCATGGTGATGGCTTCGATGGTAGTGGGGCGATGCGCTGACGCATGCCAACATCGCGAATAGCACGAATGCGAACATTATCTTCTGTATGCAAAATGACAACTGCTTTGTCCTCAGCCCGGCGTCACTTTATATAGTTCGCGGCGCTGGGTCACAGTTTATCAAACGCTATCAGTACTTTCTGGACGTTGGACAAACGTTCACGCTCATAGGTAAGAGGTCGTATTGTTTCTCGGAAACTTTGAGAATAAACATTAGTCATATTAAATTGGAATACGTATAAAAATATGTTTCCATAACTACTAGTAAAACTGCATTCAGTAAATGTTACTAAAAATAATCTAAATGCGAAAATTTGGATGAAAGGATGTATGTTAGAGTTTTTTACCTAGAAAGCTGAACGGATCTGGATGAAATTTGGTATAGATGTAGAGCGTATAATCTGGAGAAATATATAGGCTACTTTTTTGATTTTTTTATGCCACGCAGACCGATTCACGTGCAAAATCTAGTAATCCATAATTTAAAAAACTAAGGAGAAAAACAAACAAAAGTGCACAGTGGTAAATCCCCTGGGTTAGGAAGAGGTGAAGTTTATCTACAAAATTGATAACATACGCCACTTATATGCTAACTTAACCACTGAGAGTATGGTGAGATTAGTAGGTCTGAATAAGTACGATACTGTGTATTACAACTAAGGGTCCCTATTATAACTAAAGCAACCGTAAAGAAACATAATTTTTTACTTGGCCATCGCTCTGCCCATTTTTATTATATATAAAACGGCTTAACGGATCTTGATAAAATTAAGAACACATGTAGAGCATACTCTAGAACATAATACGGGCTACAATTTTTTTTTAATTCGTAGGTTAATCTATACTAATATTATAAAAATAAAAGATTTCTATTTTTGGATTTTTGTATGTATTGAAATAACTAAATAACTACTTTGCCGATTTCAAAAATTCTTTCACCATTAAATAACTTTATTATTATAGGCTACATTTTTTAATTTCACGCCGACGAAGTCGCGAGCAACGGATAGTAAGTAAATAAAGTATTTTGGAGTTGAACGATTCATTTTCAAACTTATTTATTTTTACATATATTCATTTAAAGTTTCGATATCTTTGTGCGATACAATGATTTCTAGGTAATTACTTGTTTGCAACTGTTTCTTGTTTATACTGACTCATTGGTGACAAAGTATCATAGAGAGATAATGCTGTGGCTATTGCGTTACTCTCTGCGTGATTCAAAGAAAACAAAACAAAGTTATAATAATCATATCTATACTTCTATACTATTATAATAAAGAGTAAACACACACTTCTTTGTTGCCTAAGATGTCAGCAATTACAGCTTATTTTTGAATAACTCATTTTTTAATAAAAAGCCCTACACTTATGTCACGCTTTAGGCTATTTATTTTCACGCCATTATACTTAAGGAGTATATATTTTGGATAAAAACCCTAATGTGGGAAAGAGACCATAAGTTGCAGCCAACATCAAGGAAGCAAGATTGCCTTACTTTGTCATAATATCATGTCATTTTGACATTTGCAATTAATAATTTGACAGATGTAAACAATAAATTAAAATTTTCATAATTTTACGAGGATGAAGTCGCAGGGGAACAGCTAGTATTATAATAAAGCGTAAACACACACTTCTTTGTTGCCTAAAATGTCAGCAATTACAGCATATTTATGAATAATTCCTTTTTTAATAAAAAGCCCTACACTTACGTCACGCTTTAGGCTATTTATTTTCACGCCATTAAACATAGGTGGTAAATATTTTGGATAAAAACCCTAATGTGGGAGAGAGACCATAAGTTGCAGCCAACATCAAGGAAGCAAGATTGCCAAGCTTTGTCATGTCATGTCATTTTGACGTTTGCTATTGATAATTTTACAAATGTAAACAATAAAATAAAATTTTCATAATTTCATGCGGATGAAGCCGCACGGGAACTAGCTTAACAAGTGCGTCGTCCCAGCTTTTCTACCAATAACTTTATTGTATTCGTCTCAAAAGCAGGGCGATATAATTGTAGATCAAACGAACTTGCCAACTTAGATCTATATTATAAGAGGATTCTTATTCTAAGATGTAAGATATGAATTATTTATTTACTATTAATATAACTAAAGCATATTGTACGGTCCCTTCCGATACTGCAGTATTATTATAAATGCTTTACCTACACCTGTTTATTATACATTAATAATAAGGGGTCTAAACTACGTGTCGATGCGTGCCGATATACCAGAAAATTGGTTTTCTTATCTAAATTTCCTTTTACAACACCGTATTCAGAATCTTGTTACATAACAGGGTTACGAACATATATTTATTAATTCTTATTGATGTTTGCGATGAATACTAGGTTCATTTAGAGCCTTTTAACTTTACTAAGTAATAATAAATAAATAAAAAACTAACACTCCACATTAATTCATTTAGAACAAGTTCAACAGTGGTAGAGCCCGCTTTAACATCTTCGCACGAATGGGTCGGCTCGCCCATTGAAATACCACGACCACCCAGAAGACAGGCGTGAAGTGGAAGCATTTCCGCGTTTCATCTGATGAGTGTGGTGCCAGAGGCCTAATTTTGGTCCCTTTCCCTTATCACCCTTTTCTTAAGAGAAAGCGATGGGAAGGAAAAGTGGATTTGACGGTGGAGGAGACGCATAGGAAGGGGAAATATCCTCTTTATGTGCGTCTCCTCCTCCGTCCATTAAAGGTAGGCAACGCATCTGCAATTGCGGATGTTTATGGGCAGCGGTCGCTTTCCATTTCGGTGGATTCCGGTAGCCGCTTGCTCGTCTGCCACCTTATGTTAGATAACAAAAAGTTTTTAAAAATCAGTCAAGCAGTTTAAGCTTTAGGCATTGCGCCTGCTATATTTTTGGAGCAATTCCCCAAATATGTATCACCACATTGGTTTCGATAAGTATATTATTGTTTTTGGGCCATGATCGTTACAACACTAACGTTCAAACTAAAATGTATGTGTAACCATGACAACACCTTTTATGGAAAGGCAAAGGTTAATCCTGTTACATGAACTTTAAATAAATCATTTTACAAATGCCGCTTCTACAACCATACCTTAATTTAAAACACATCAAACAATTCCTTAAAACATTTTAGTGTTTTCAGCGCCATCTCGCGACGCATATTTGCTTCTAGACGGCATTGACTTTCGAATTGTTCAACAATGTCATCATCAATGTCATAGATGGCGCTGTACATAATAATTTAGTGTTCGCAAGATATTAAAAAATTACAGTTTTGAAACATTTATTCAAGTTAACTTAATAATTTACCCATACGCAATGCCTTTCGATCGAACCAAAAAATGTAATTAGATTCATCTAAAGATTATCTCGTCGAATTAAGGTTAACGCGCATTAGTCCACGCCATATACATCAGGAAGGCGCGCGTTCACTCACTTGATCGGAATAAATGTGGGGTTCCTACTAAAGCTGGCGATTTAAATGGCTAAGCGACTTACGCATGTCGCCGACATATTCTTTCATCGCCATCAACAGTCTCTTGCTTCTTGTCAAGACTGTCGGTACAAAAGTTAGGATGATTTTCTAGATAGCAGTGCAAATCTACACAGTTGTTATTTTTAAAATTTGTAGTCGATACGCCTGTAGTGACCGAACGATATAATAATAATGATAGTTTTGCAGATTTACGTTTTCTTGTGTACAACGTACATAAATGGCACACAGAAAAAGTTTTTTTAATAACGTTCGATTAATTATTTGGTAGGGTTCTTACAATCGGTTAAAATAAATTATTCGAAACGTTAGTTACTATGATAGAAAAGCTAACAATTTTCTTACTGCAATAATTTTCTTTTTTATATACTATTTGTCATACTATTTGTTTTAATGATATGATATTTTTATATTAAATTAGAGTTGACAAGAACGCGTCAACCTTTAAACTATATTTCGGCTGTAGCTGTCGGCTGACGTAGTCGCCAGCGTTATCAGAACGAATAGTTCGTGGGTCAAAATATGTATTGTAGTTCTGTTAAAAATAGATACAATTTTACGTAGCATTTGATAAGCAGTGTATTTAATCTTAATATAATTAATTTCATACAAAAATCTTTTTCAGGTGATGATAAATAAATAAAATAGAAATTCGGCCAACAATCAAAGTATATAAGTGATGACAAGAAAGATTTTGGGGTATAACATAATAAAAGTATTTTTTTTAATTGTGTGTTTATAATTTGAATAACTTTTTATTGTTACATTTGATTTATCGCAGGACACGACCCATTCCGCTCTAGTGTACTAAGTACGATTCAAAACCTATAAAAGTATTTTCACCAGAGCGTTCGATGGATTCTGCTATTTGGTCACTACACTAGGATCCTCTTTAGCTTGCTCTTTGGCTTTCCTTCTTCTTCTCTTCTTCTTCTTCTCGGGAAGTTCTTGGTTCCTCGGGCAAGGGCCGTTAGCTGGGGGCATCAGCGTCGTATGCATTGGCAGTCTACCTACAGTCGCAAGTTGGAAAGCTGACAGAGGAGGTTTTGGTGGCTTAGTTTCCTCCGCATTTATAGGGTTAGAAGTTGGTAGTGTTTCGAAGTAGCTCGGCTCCTCAGTTGGTCCTCTTCTGATCACTGCAATACCAAGAGGTTTGTACCTTGCTTGGTGAGTTTGTCCGTCCCGTCTTTCCATTTTTCACCGAACGAATAGAAGATATTGGAAAGAAGTAGTGTCACCACTTTGTCCGGCAGGGAATATCTCGAAGACTTCTAGTAATATCTTCCCGAGGATGAGCAGTTTCCCTGCCGGCTGGTGCGTGCCGTGTGTTCAGAGAGCTTGCATGTGGGGATCTGATGCGTTTCCGCAATTCGACCTGTATTTATAGTCAGACCGAAGTTTACGCTAGACTTATCAATATCGTTTGTGAAATTTTCTTAGTTATTTAAGTATGAAACAAGGTTTTTTTTATTATTTCTGATTTGGTATTGATAATATGAGGAAGACATTTTTTTTCTTTTACATTTGAGAAAAATAAAAAAATAAATCACACAATATTGTGTAATGGTAAAACAAAAGTTTTTTAAC